CCCCGTGACTCAAGCCTAATTTAATTTATAAGGGGGGGGGGGGGCAACTACCCAGTACTCGAGTAGAGAGAGTTTCCCCGGTCATGTCATGTCACATACCCGGATGGATGGTCACCTATAGATAGTTCTAATAATGGGTCGTGTTATGATACGAGTACAGTACTCGTACTCACGCCTGGACGCCTGCTCCTTCGGATCGTAGTCTTCTAATAAAATAAATAAAGGGGAAAAAGTCGGGTTATTCCTTGCCACCTACTGCGCTTTTTCCCTTCGCGAGCACCGGGGTTGGCATGGGCGGAGAATGAAGTGAATAGCGCTAAAAGTGGGGGTTTGCTCCCATTCTCGGTAGACCGGGACTCGCGTTTAGACATTCTCGCTCGCGATGTTACGATACTTGTATGATACAGGCGAGTTTGTTCTGCTCGTCATGGATTATCACCCGGTGAGCATTGAGCAAATCTCCTATCCATGGAACTATTGGTCTAGTGGGTATTCTGGGGCTCTGGAGATGGCATGGTATATAAATATGAAGGGGGGCGGTGTTTTGGCTCCCAAGTATCCTCGCTTGGATGGTTCGTTAGTACGTGTACTAGTATAGCTGGCTAGCTTGTTTAGGTTGAATATAGGATGTGCTCCCGTGTTCACAAGTACGGTAACTGACCGACTGAGAAGCCAAAATAATAATATTATCATTGATCATTATGATTTAAGACTATTGGTAGAGCGAAAAAAAAAAGACCAAACTCCCCCCGACCAAATCCGAAAAAAAAAAGAGGAAACAAAATTAATGCCCGTGAAAGTGTGTAGCTTGAGTGCAAGAACCGCTGCGAAAATGCTTAGCCGTCATCAAACGATACGGCGATCCCGATATCACACTCTCGTGTAGATTCTCCCACTGGCTCCCTCGCTTTATTATCCACAAGGCCGAATTCGTCCTCGGGCATCTCGGGGAGCTGCTTAGTCGACAGCTCCAATGAGACAACGCCCTCCAGCTCATAGCTTCCAGTGATGCTTGAGCGATCCATGCCGGATAGATATCTCGATCTTTCCTCCTTCTTCTTGTTTCGGTGTCTAAGAGCTCTTATCGATGGTGCGCATGCGGCGAAAAAGACAGCCACAAGCTCCCCGAATGATAAAATCTCAACTTTCCGAATGTTGGCTAGGCTGTTCATCGTGAATTGGTCGATTGGAGCTATGTTTACGGCACGCACGGTGGCTGCGATGATAGAAACTGAGCCGAGAAAGAGCAGAAATGAAAGGCCCCAGACATCGCGAAGCTGAAGGGCGTAGAGCCGTAGTATAAGGAAAGGCATACCCATAACTAAGATATCGGTTAGTCGTTGATGCAATGGGAAAGCTGGAGAAATCGCGAGCGCACCCAAGAGGTCGGTGAAAGCATTGAGAACAGTTGTATGAATGAAGGTATGTGAATTGATCATTTGGCATCTGGGAACCACAGCCCCGTCACCAATGGCCCTTTTCGTAGACGCAGCATTAGCCAGAAGGCGCTGCGGTGACGCGACGAGAATATATGACTAGTGCTGAAGGGTCAAATATACTAACCAATTCGCCGAAAAAGGCCAACAGGAGAAAACACTTGTGAGAATTATTATCATGTACGAAGCGAAAACGATAACGGTCATGGCGTATAATAAGTATCTCAGCCGTTTTGACACGTTGGTGGCCACCCCGAAATACATCGATATGAACGCGGCTTTGACCATCCACAAGGAAGAATAGTACAT